TATCTTCCTATTTTTACCCGGCTGCGCAATGCAAGAGCGCGAAGCGCGACGCGCAGACAGGGTTATGTGTTTAACAGTCTATATATGTATGTTTGTTCCTTTGTGGCACACTAGAGACCAAACGCCTGGACCGATTTTGATGATTCATACATCAATCGATTCGTCTCAATCATAGGAGTGCTACTAAAGATATGATAGTAATCAAAATTCAATATGGGCAAAATTAGGCGCCATATTGTGACGAAGTAAAAAAAATATGTTGACAAAATATGTCGAGTGGGGTATCACTGTCTAGATAATCAAAAATCATATTTAGGTTCCTAACACCATTTTTCATTTTATGTGATTGTTTAGGATCTACAACGCTTTAAAGTTGTATATTAACCACTTACGCTTTTAATTTCAATCTTACGTTTATATGGATCTTTGTTACTCTTTCACCTAAAAAATACTGAATGGATTTTAATGAAACTTAACAGTAATATAGCTCATATATGATAATTACATATATGTAATAATTTATGTAGTTATTGAGTGAATTGGCCAATGTATAACAATAAGTGTCACATAAGACGGAAAAAAATCTCCCATCTGCGAGCCATTTTGGCCTGCACTGCAAAAACAATAAAAGTTATATGAATGTAATGTAGAGTGAAAATGTATCTCTTAAATAGTTCTAAAAAAAGTCCGTGACACCATATATCTATTTTTAATGTGTGAGTCATTACCGCTAAAATAGTGAATCAAAACTAAAACATTATTTGATATCTATTTCCAAAATGCACATTTTGATTAACAAATCATTTTTTATTAAAACAAATACTTTTAAGCTCGCGATAATATTGGTTTTGTAATAATACTGCAAAATTCAAAGTAAATAATGTAGATTTTTATAGGTAAATCACCCCTTTCATCACCCTACGCCTATAAGTATTGCGATGTTGTAGCTAAGAAAAAAGTTCCCATCTACTTCTATATGGGAATTCATTATATTCGATTTAGCTATTAGGGCACGGAAACGCAATAAACAAACTCACTTTCGCATCTATAATATTATATTATATTTACTAGTGATGAGTGGTTATTTATCGGGATAAAATATAGCCTATGTCACTCGGACAAAATGTATTTAAATAAAGAAAAATGTTATATTAAATAATGTAGCTACCTTATGATGAATTAATATTTGAAACCGGTTCAGTAGTTTGACAGATTAATTGTTACAAACATACGTCTTGCCTCTTTATAATATTAGTATAGATAGTTCGGATAAGATAAGTATTTAATTGATGAAAAAGATTTAAAAATAAAGTAAGTAATAGGTTTATTTGATTATATTTGTAAAAGTTACTTAGCATTTGTGCTTAACAGTGATACGTCATTCGGTATTTTTTTAAACAAAAAAAAATTGGAAAATAATTGCCATGATTGCACTACTGGGAGTACTCTTCATTCGAGCTTTACACCTGTTAAATGTGAACGCTTTAAAAGAAAACTACAAAGAGAACTATAAATTGATAATAAATGAGATTGCTATGGTGCTCTACCTAACGTTATGAAAATTTTATTATGCGCCTTTAGTTTAATCAAATATTATAAACTTTGCTTTGGTGATTGCATAATTATTTAATTTAGTGATCTAAGGCAGTTGCCACCATTGCCCAAAACAACAGACGGGAATTACTGCTTTCTTCAACCTGCGACATGAACGTCATTGATTGGTATTTTAGATAGGGTGATTAAAAACATTTGAAGTTAACTTCTGGCATTAGGGATGCAAAGTCTTTTGAAATATCGATATTTATATCGAAGTCAGGAAAATATCGATATCCGATATATCGACCATTTTAACTCGATATTATCGATATTTTTTCTTTTTTTTGCTTTGTATTAAGTTTGCAAAGCAAAAACCTATAATTAAGGGAGCAAAGGTTTCCGAAATATCGATATTTATAATGTGGGCAGGTAAATATCGATATCCGATCCGATATATCAGCCATTCCAACATTTTCTATATTTTTATAGCGCTGTAAGAAGTATCAAATCAAAAGCAATTTCGAATCAAAGATATTTTTTTTGTTTAAAATGTTTGCACGCAGCCAAAATCAGAATAGATAATCATATGAAAAACAATTGTTATGTATTAGTAAAACCTACACATCAGGGGCGTGCCCATGGCTTTAGAATAGGGTAAGCCCAAAGCTTCCAAAATTACTATACCTATCTTACTTTCTTGGCTTGGCGAGCTTAAAAAAATTACGATTTGTATAAGATAAGATTCTTAATTTTGTTTTGTGTTATATAACAATGATATTAAATTTTAATTAATCAGTAGTTGACAATTATCTAGAAAGAGAGGCAAGTATTTTATTTAAATGCATGAGTTACCATTAGGTATACGATTATACCTATATACGTTGGTGTCGATTCTGGCATGATTATCTAAACTTAAAACTAAATTTAACATCAGTCTCTCCTTTTCATTCTGTACAGAGAATGACAAGGATACACTGTTGTAGTTTAGTATATTTCTTGGGGTTCTAGATTTTTTAATACATCTATAAGCTCTTGCGATTTCAAAGCAATAGTTATTTCGATATTATTCAATTTAGATAGTCATAGCAGGTAAATCAATTGTTATTATTGTGTTTAAATTTAGTCCACGAAATATCGATATTTTGGAATTTCCGATATCGATATTATCGATATCAGTGAATTTCAAATATCGATATAAATATCGATATTTTGGTCTCGATATTATCGATATTATCGATATTCCGATATATCGTTGCAACCCTATCTGGCATCTACATATTAGGTTTCTGTGAATTATGTAGGTATATCAAATTATGAGACTAGGGACTGACACTGAATTTGTGTATATCATAATCTTAGACGTCCGGCATTGATATGACAATGCAACCACTGCCAATTTTGAATAGTCCACGAATAAAAGTAAATGAATTTTATATTTACTGCTAAACTATTAAAAAAAACATAAACAAAAGATGACTTTTTGAGTAAGTGCTAGTTTACTATAAAATTTACATACATTAGAGATATTTATGTAACGACTTGATTTAACTTCACACATTTTTGCGAAAATTGAGGCCCATCTGTAGCCTTGACCCCGCTGGTAAAGTTTTTATATGTCTTAATAAATCAATCTTTTAGACCGACGCAAGGTACTTAATAATTCCCGCGATATTAATTCCCTTACTGAAGTAACAAGACTACGGTATATACCGTCTTAAAATACTAACTAAAAAGTGTGAAATAAAAAAGGTAAATTTAAAAAATCAAAAAACCCGGCTGCTTAATTATTCTTCAAATATAAACTGAAAAGAAAAAAACAAGTCCAGTAGTCTATAATTCTGTTAATAAGGAATAAAGCTACTTTAACAGTCGGGACCCACTGTTGAAAAATATTATGTATTCTTGAATATCTAATGGGTCCCGACTGTTAAAGTAGCTTTGTTCCTTATTAACAGAATTATAGACTACTGGACTTGTTTTTTTCTTTTCAGTTTATATTTGAAGAATAATTAAGCAGCCGGGTTTTTTGATTTTTTTTTCTATTAATTATGAAGCTCTTACCATTTCACCCAAAGTAATTTATTTAGACTCTTTACGTAATGATAAAAATGCTAATATTAATCTAATGAGTATTGTTAATACAGAATGGCATTACATTTACTGTGACGAATCTAAACATCCATCCACTGGGATAGTTGGAATCGGTGTTTACCACCAACAGTATAAAATAACACAAAAAATTAAATTACCCCCAGAAACCTCAGTATACACAGGAGAATGTTATGGAATCCTTAAATCATTAGAATACATTTTGCTTGCACAACTCAAAAAGACAATTATTTTCTCCGATTCCAAAAGCACTTTACAGGCAATAGAAAATTTTCCTTTTAAAGCTTCTTCTTCTAACGCCTATTTGATCGATTGTAGGAAATTATTACTGAATTGTACTTTGAAGAATCTAAATGTGCTCTTTGCGTGGATACCTGGCCATCATAACATCACAGGCAATGAAGTAGCTGATAAACTCGCTAAAGATTCAGTGAATTGTGGTGACGTCTTTCCCTATAAAAATTTAGTAAATGATCTTGTTTTACTTCCTATAGTACATTTACGCATATCTTGGGAAGAAAATTGGGATACTAGTAGTCGCATCAAAGGTAAACATTATTAATTAATTCAACAATGTATTCCCGATAAACCATGGTTTTCTAAAATTCATTTAAGTAAGTTTGCCACATCAAGTCTCATAAGAATGCGCCTAGGTCATAACTGTTCTTCTTCCCACCTGGCTAAACTGGGCATAGGAAATAATAATATTTGTGCTTGTGGTACTGGAGCAGAAGACTTAAATCACATCTTCTTCGAGTGTCCCCTCAATGATTCCGCCTCTTTTATGGATTCATTAATATCCCTTAATGTACCTCTCCCTAATTCTATTCCTTTCTTATTGTATTATAAAAATTATAATATATATAACAAGCTATCTGAATTCCTAACTAAACATGATATAAAATTATAAATACCTAATTTATAACAATAATGTAATGTATTTTATATACTTAAATAGACCTATTACTTACGTTTCAAATTAATTTTACGTACCTACCTGATATTAATCCTTCCAAATTCCGTTTCACAGCCATTTTATTTCATTATTTTGGTTTCCTTACTTTTTACCCTGTCGTGGCCAATGCACAAACCGTGCGAGCCATTATAATAAAAAAAATATATATATATATCTGTCTGTCTCCTTCTCATTTTGTATAGAGAATGACAAGGATACACTGTTGTCAATTCTGGTGTGATTCTCTAAACTTAAAACTAAATTTTACAGCAGTCTCTCCTTTTCATTCTGTATAGAGAAAGACAAGGATATACTGCTGTCAAATTTAAGTTTAGGTTTAGAGAATCATGCTAGAATCGACACCAATGTTGTCAAATTTAAGTTTAGGTATAGAGAATCATGACAGAATCGATACCACTTACTAGTTTTTGTTGATTAGTATTTGCTTTTTCATTCATTTAGTTTACTTTCGCTTTGCTGTTTCAAAGGAAGTTTCTCAGGGAAGTATACATCAAAATGAAAGAACAGCAAAGACTTTTGGCGTATTTAGTATCAGTTGAAAAACTCGCCGAAGAAATTTTATCAGACAGGCATGAAATTATCATGTTAGACAAACGAAGAAATCAGAACAGGGAAGCACTGAGAGAGCTTACAAAGTCACAGCAGGGAAAGTGTTGGGTTACAGTAGGATCTGTACTTATCAAAAATAATCTAGAAACAACAAAATCAATGTTAGAAGCTGATCAGAAACAGTTACATGTAGATATTAATAACCTGCGATCAAACCTCAAAGTTAAAGTTAATAATTTGAGAGATTTAGAAATGCAACCACCTGTACCGGGATTAATGCTTGTTCCTATGACACCAAGAGAAACGGAAGGATTATCAACAGCAGGACTTATTAGCATAAGATAAACAAAATGTAAAAATTATATGGTTATACTCAAACTTAGTTTAAAAATATACCTAATGCTTCATTATTTTCAGTTATTGATAAATTCATGGTATTTTGGGGCCAATCGCCTAACGGGATCGCTATGGCTATCGCTTACGATTTCATTTTGTTATTTCTGGCCGCCGAAGGTTTTTAAATGCATCACGGTCTTTTTCTTTTGCATTGGTAATAATAATATTATAGAAAACTAGCTGACTCGGCGAACTTCGTACCGCCCAAAAGTAATAATTTGCAATAAATTAAAATTGCGACTATAATTTGAGATTTAAACTATCCTATCTCTCAAGTTGGATCGAACTGCACATGGTGTGCGAATTTTATTATAATCGGTTCAGTGGTTTAGGAGTCCATTGAGGACAAACATTGTGACACGAGATTTATATATATTAAGATGAGCGTGAGGCATTTGAAAACCTTCGGCAGACAGAATTATCCAAATGAAATCATAAGCGATTGGGAAAGCCATAGCAATCCTGTTAAGCGATTGACCCCCTGAAGTACAAGCCAAAATACTGATCAAAACAATATCTAGAAGACAAAGCTAAAGACTGAACTAACTTGATTTAAGAATTATTTATTTTTGTGACAAGGGTTGCATTTTGTAATCATAATAAAACAGGAATATTTAGCTACTTGTATATGACTTTTGTTCCTCCTCATAATTTTTATTTAGTGAATCAACAATCAAGGGACATTCAGAAATAAGCAATAAAATTACAAAATATACTTTTATATTTTATTACGCTAAGGTAGTCTCAAATAAAAAAATCATCAAATATATAATTTTCAATATGCACAATTACATCTTTATACATGTAAATAATATAGTACATAATAACAAATAAATAATAAATAGTACCAAATTTTAGGATTTATCCATTAATGAAATTGTTGTTTGGTGTGTTATTTAATACAAAGTGACTTGACTAAATGCCAATTTGTATGTGGGTTAAAATTGTGGAGATTGAATAATAAATTTACATTATCGAAATTGTTGTTTTTATAGTCAATAATAAAATTATTTATTTATACGAGTTAAAATGGCATTCTTCTTTGTTCAAAACATAATAAATTGTAACCAATCACTTCATCAGCATCAACTAGCTTAACTTTATAAACAATATAATATGGCCATAATATGATTGATAGGCTTAGATTAAAACAAAAAGTAGATACGGCACTAGCCTCACAAAAGTGATCCGCACAAATTGTGGTCCACAACCCTAATTGCTTTAGTCACAACTTGACATGCAAACGACGTACATGTGAACGTCAAAAAGAAATATTGATAATATTTTGTGTTTATATAATAAAACAATGCTTAAATATGTTTTTAAAAAGTGCTCAAATTGTTCAAGAACTAAAAATAATACCCACGGCATCACTTTTCATTCGTAAGTACTATAAAATATATTTTTTCATAAAAATTGCTGTTTGTTTTGAATCTTATTCGGTAGTAACGTCGAGTACTGGTCGCGTGATTGGTCGTTTAGTGCAGTGACGCGGATCTCGTCGTCTCGTTCGCGCTGCCGTTGAAACTTAACGTGCTGTTTCGCTCGGGCCGGTAATGCAGTGACACGGATCTCGCCGTCCCGTTCGCGCTACCGTGGGATCAGTTTTTGTTTGATGCAAGTATGAGCGTACCGTATCTACCCTTTTTTTTTTTATCTAAGTTGATAGGTAAATTTTACATTACATCTTCTTTGAAAAAATAAACAATTGCAACATAATAATAAAACTTAAGCAATTTTAACTTACTTATGAATAATTGTCAATATCAAAACATTTATTCTACAGGTTATTGCTTAATATAATAATAATATTTCTTAGTGGTTGTATCAATTCTCAGTACAAAATGACATGTGTAATAAAAGGGTTCTCAAATACTCGATTGTAATTACATGGATTGTCTTTTGAGCATAAATTATCATCTGTCACTATCACAAGTCTTTGAATTCCAAATGATCAAAGCACATACTTTATTTTCGTAACATTGACTATAATACCGGCATGTCTTGTACATTCGGACATGTGCGAGTGTCGGGGCCCTTAGTGCCATCACAGATCGCTGGCGCGCTCGTCTCGCCGCACTCCATCACTACCAATTGGCCATTCCCGGTTTGTTGAGCGTCATGAAATATATCTGACAGGAAGAGCCCCCTTTTGCGGACGAGAAAAATACCTTGTCATTGCGCTCACATAAAAACTTGAGTCGTTGAGCTTTCTTGTGCATAAAAACTCCATCAAGGTGTCCACTCTCGACTGAGCGGATTTCAATGGCTTTATTGCCCCAGCCCATAATTTGTCCGGTACCAATGTAAGCCACGGATGTAGGCATTTCACCCCACTGAAAAGTAACATAATTAGTTTATAGAGGCCATTATTAATTTATGATGGAATGTTATTATTATTTGCATTTTCAATTTGTTTTTGTAAAGACAAATAATGTTCTCCAACCTGTAGCACAATATTTTTACTGACGCGTCCATTAGTATTTACGTATACACCTTCATTATCATAGCATAATAATAATTGTACACCATTTGAATTTGGAAGAGGTACAATGCAATGTGGAATAATTGCTCCCTGTGTCTGAAAAAGAGGTGTTTAATTATAATATACATAAACATTATTAAATTAATATGTAAAAGACTAACTAAGTATTAACAAACTGCGAAAAAGGAGGAATAGAAAATAATGTCCTTCTTCAATGTTTTTTTCTTCTGAAAAACTGTTTGGAATATAAAAAAAGATGCACAAAGTTATTAATATTATTTAAAAATATATCAACTCACATGCTTTGGAATATAAATATCATATACAGTGGCAGTGTCTAAGTCAACAGCGTGGAAACCATCTGCTGAACCATAAATAACTTTCAGTCTTGTTCCTTCTTCTATGGTAAGGTCTACTAATAGAGGCCTGCAAAACATACGATAAAAAATAATTTTAATCAGCGTTAAGTAAATTCAGTATAACGGAATTTATTAGAGGTTTAAGTCACAAGCCAAAACAGTCTGAATAAACATAAATTTTTAATATTCTTTCATTTACAGATAAAACGGTATTAAGAGCAACATATCAAATGGATTTGTTGCTTAATGGATTCTATAGTTTTTAGACACATTTTGGATTGTGAATGAAATCCTTGTCAAGTGCAAGTCAAAAATCTAATAAAGTCGAAGAACAATAATGTTGACATTCTATATTATATAATATTAAATAACTATCACTATTTATTACCTATGTTGTAAATCTCCAAAGTTTTTAAAGGCCATGAACTTATGATATGGTTTAGGCGCCCACGCGTATATTTCAATAGAATCTTTCAAGGCAATCACCAGGAACTTTATTCGTTCGTATTTCACAATACGGAAGTGAACTGCACCTTGTAATTCGCCGACATTAATCCAACCATTCCTTCTTTCTGCTTGCTGAATCCATATAAAGAAAACAGTGTCAGCAATATTTACAAAGAAAAATATTCTTAATTTCAAGCACATAGGGTTTACTTTGATATTTGTCCTATTGCAGGTCCATATAAAATGTAAGCAAAAGGGATTATTATCTAACTTTAACACTTGGCTCAAGCATTTCCAAAGCTAAGTGTTAAAAAGCATGAAAGGCATTGTAAAGAAAAAAGGCATTTCAGTTAGTTATATTTGGAAATAGCTCTAACGCCGGCACTTCTCATGGCTATTCGTATTTGCTATATTTGTAAACATGACAACAGCCTCTCCCTTTTATTCCCTATTAAGTTTGATAAGAACAGGAAGGAAATATGAATACCTATATGAAGTGCTAGCATAAGGTTTACCAATAGTATATATTTGGTTGTATAAGAATTGCTAAACCCATACATTTAAGCGACAATGTAATGTATTACTCACATCACTCAGGCCGTCAGTGCGTAAAATTTTCGATTTTAGCCAGCTTAAATAATAAACTCGTACGCGATTCTTCTTCCCGGAGACTGTTACGAGAATATTTTGTCCTTCTAACACTTCCATTTGCTGGAAGCGGCGTCGTGAGATCAATTGGTAAACTTTTCCTTGTCCTGAACGGTCAAGTAACATCAAACCATTTTCTGTGCCTATCAATAGATTAACTCCTGAAATAAAGAATTATTTACATTAGTGAATTTTGCTAATATCTCCGCACTCCATAATGATATGGGTACCATTGATATCCCTTTATTCCCAGTCGCCCCAGTGGGGATTGCCACCGTAGGCAATGCTAATGGGAATAAATAAAATGAAGTAAGGGCATTGACTTCATTCCCATTTGCCTCAGGTGGGAATCCCCGCGGGGGCGACTGCGAATAAAGGCCACAGCGAGGATTGCCACCCGAGGCAAATAGAAATAAGAAGACTGAAGTGGGGGCAATGATTTCATTCTCATTTGCTTTCGGTGGAAATTCCCGTGGGGGCGACTGGGAATATGGTTAATTTCTCCACTGCTAGGTCACAGGCCTTTCCTATGGATCGAATAGGAACGGGCTTTGATCCACAACGCGGGCTCAATACGGAATAGTGGGTTCTAACGATTGCATATGAAACCGGGACCAACGGCATAACGTGCCTTCCGAAGCACGAAGGATCTAGAGTTGATAAGATAAGAAAATTGCGAAAGGCGCTTGATGGTTAATACCACAGGTTAACATAATGTTCACATATTTACTTTATATACCACGTTTACTCTCAACCATTACCATAGGGATGGTGACGGGGTAAAGTAAACGAAATTTGCTATGTAGTCCGCCAGTATCGATACATTTTTTCATTGTTCAATCAATAAAAAAATTAACACATATACATATTTTACGCCTCCAAACATCGCGATATAAGTTTGCACCTCATTTAAAAATACGACCGTGACAATACACTGAAGTTTCAATCAAAAGTTAACCTTCTCTAAAACCACCAATTTGGCGATATCCATAAAAAAAAATGTAATGTGGACTACAGTGTGCTCAGTCTATTATCTATGTGCAATAGGCGCAGTGAGAGCAGGGCTGTAGCAAGAGTTGTTTATCAGATAAGGCCTCACTGAATATTTATCCCCCCTAGAATTAGTGACGCCCCGTTGTAAGGTATTAGCAATAATACCCCCCTTTCCCCCCACAGCTACAGCCGTAGCCGATTGATTGATCTTAGAGCCCTAAGATCAAGGCCGCACTGGTACAGTGACTGCGACGCGACGGCGATTTTCTAAAAACAAACTCATAGAAACACATGTCGGTGGCCGCACTGCAGACGTTTCTGCTTGTACTGCGCCGTCGCCTCGCGTCACCGCACCCGTGCGCCCTCTGTCCAAGTGTAAGTATGCGTGACTGACCCCAGAGAGCGGCGCACAGGATCTCCGAGTTGAATCTCTTCTTGTACTTCCGTATCTCGGGCGTGTCGGAGCTGAGGTCGTGTCCGGTGGGCGTGACGTTGACATTGACGTGGCTCTCGCGGCGCGACGCATTGCCGCCCGAGCCGCCCGTGCCGCTGCCCGTCGAGCCCGCCCCGAAGCCGAACGTCAGGAACGAGCGCTGCTTCTGTTGCAAGGGGAGGAACTGTTGGGACCCCACCGAAGAGTTGGAGGGGGACTGTTGGAGCGCGTGCGGCGAAGCGGCGCTCGTAACGAACGACTTGGACGGAGTGGACTGGACTGAGGACGGGGACGGGGAGGGCAGGTGGTGATGATGATGGGGGGCCAGGGGCATGCCACCGGCAATCGCTTGCCTGTACTGTAACAGAAAAATAATTGGCATTTGATAAATTTTTGGTTGATCATTTGGAACTACACTTTGATAGATATACAATTTATGAGATAGTACGATAAAAAGAGTATTTTTTGTTTTTTTTGTTTGAATCCCTTTATTAGTTGAATGTTTTCTAAAATTGAGAAACAAGTTGCAATACCCTTGCAGGGCTCAAGTTTGCGAGATAATATTATATTTAAGAAGTGAATGTAACCAACATGAAGCAATAAATATTATGACTATTATAACCGACAAGTACGGTACCGAAGTAATAAATGCAATGGAATTGATATTAACGAGTAAAATCCAATATACACTCGAGAGCAATGAATCCAGGTCACTTAAATAATCCTAAAAATCTCGCAAATTGAGAATGCTAGCTTAATGAAATAAATTCTAATTAATAGACAATTAGATACTCCTTAAATGAAGATATTAAAACTTCTAAGTTATTGTAAAGTTATAAGAAAAAGGGAGACTTTCGAAGGTGGAACTACGAAATTACTGCATTTATTTTAGATCTGTCATTTATCATTCATGTCGACACTGTTCAGTATTAATTATTCAAACTGTAATCATGCCGCTTACACCTGAAGAAAGCACCAGAACTTTCACAAGGCATGAAACCGGCCGGAGCGCGATACAGCCAGGACTGTCGGTGTGTCGCTGTCAGTAGTACATAGAGTTCTCCGACGTTACGAGGAAACTGGCTCTAACCTACGCAGACCAGGAACAGCCAGATGTACCACAGCACGAGAAGATCGATACTTGGTGAACACCATGTTTCGAAATCGCTTTCTCACAGGAACTGAAATTACAAATCAGTTTCGACGCTTCGGAGGAAGTAACCCAAGCGCATGGACAGTAAGACGACGATTAGCTGAAGCTAGCTTGAAACCACTTAGACCTGCAAACGGCCCTAAACTAGAGCGTGGGCATCGTATTTCAAGATACGTTGGTCCATTTATGGCCAATTTGGGTGAGGATGCTATTTTAATGCATGACAATGCCCGACCTCATACAGTTTGGATTGTGAATGACTACCTTCGATAGATGAAAATTACTCGTATGGAGTGGCCATCACGCAGCCCGGATATCAACCCGTTCGAACATGCTTGGGACGAGCTAGGGAGATGCGTAAAACAACAAAACTCTCCCCCAATTACGCTTCGTGAGCTCAAAATTGTTTTCACAGAGAAACCGGAGGAGGATATTCCCCAAAATCGTATAAGCTTGTGTACACCATGCCAAACCGGTTAAACGCAGTAATGGAAGCACAAGGAGGCAATACGAAGTATTAAAATTCAAGAAAAATCTTAATGTAGTTGTCATGTTTCCTAGTTTTGTGTTAAGGCGAAATCAGCCAGTTTTTTTCTTTATGTATTGTATTTTTTGTAAATAAAATGTGGTGACTCATAAATTCCATTACATTCATTTAAGGAGTATTTAATCGTCTATTGAAAACAATTTATTTCATTAAGCTAGCATTCTTAGTTTACGAGATTTTTAGGATTCTTTATGTGACCCGGATTCATTGCTCTCGAGTGTATATTATGTAGTTTTAAATTCATTGGTCCCAGTATTATGGTTTTCTTTGTAAATAATAAAGCTACAAAATATAAAAATGATTTGTTAGTCAGGTAAGTCCATCTCCCAGTGATTAGTCTTCATATCATATACATTTGGAAAGTTATTTGCTTGTTTGCTTAATTATCTACAAATTTATTTAATAATGACACAATGAGTGTGAATATGGCAGCAGGCAATGATCAGAATATATTTTCTAATGTTGATAATGTGTTGATGTTTCGAATAGGTGAAACGAATCATTCCATATATTTTTATCCTGTATTTGCATATCACGAATTTACTTCATTACATTTATTTATGAGAGATAATCTAATTCTTTTATATCATAAAAACTAATCGATGCCAAGTAGCTTACAACATAAATTTTGCTTTTCAAAATTTTATTTATAGTCAAAGCGGGAAAGTTACCCCAAGGAAGGACCCAAAATACCCACATGACCATTTTAACGTAAGCTGCAAATTCTAACTTCTACCTAAAGCTGGGGCTAGATTGATTTGTAGGTTGCAACATAACAATCCGATAAAATGGAAGCATCTAGAAATGCACAAAGAGAAAGGAACAGAAAGAAATATATAGTTCTAAATATCAACAAACAACAATCTATGAGTTTTATAAGCTTTCGTCTTGCATCAATACTTACGCAAATTGTAATAGGTGTCTGCGAGCCGGTTGCAGATCGTGGCTCCAGGGTGTTTGCATGATCGACAACGATTACAAATTAATACTTATTGTTCACACACACACTCTTCCGAGGCATTCGAAAATATTCTTTGAAATAGGTATTACTACAATGTAGAAGGACTGTTCTGTGTAAAGAGCTTACAACCATGTAAAATGGTTTAAATAACATAATGTAAATAAGACAAAACGTCCGCCTCTATAAGTTCTATGGTTAACCTTAATGATTTTGTGACATCAAAAATTTTAACATGTAAATTATTTACTAATAAAGCTAACTCTTTAAAATGTAGATACCAATTGCTAAATTAATGACATTAGTTGCGCAACTATTTAGGCCATTGATGTTTTCGATTGGAATATGATCTAAGGCTGTCTGTTATAAAAATAGATAGTTCCGATCTTACCTCCTCACTTGTGGACTTGTCGTGCCTTGGCGGCGTCGTAGGTTGGCCGGCCTGGCTAAGTAGGTCTGGTAGCACGGAACTCGTTCTGGCCCCACTGCCATCGTTCGCGCTTGATCGACCCTACACATTTTAATGTAACCATCAAACGTTGAATAAACCTTTGTGGACAAATATAATGAAAATAATTTAATTATAAGAGACATTAGTATTACAAATTTATTAAATCACAGCACAATAGCGCGACAAACACAAACATTGCAGCCAATACATGCAGTAATAATCACATTCGCATGACGGTCGATGTTCTTTGCAGCTTCTAGAACGTTGCGTTAGAACTTTCATTCCCAAAATTGTTAATGGTCGTGTTTGGCATCTTCTACATTCGTTATTTGATGTCTCGCACTTTTTGGCAGGAAGACGGTATTCACGCGCACAGAATTGTTTTGATGATTGTTAGTGTAATTAGGTGATTTAGATATGAATGATAATTAGTTTTGAGAAAGAAGCTGTTAAAAGAGTTAAAAATGAAAATAATTTACGTTATGGTTAAGCATTATTGTATACACTACTTAAACAATCCCATTTCCGTGACGATCTAAAATATAATAAGTAGGTATTTTATAATCACGCCAAAATGTAAGACGTATGAGCAATAAAAAATTACATTTAGTTTACTTTCTAAGCCAGAATATATATATTTCGATGAATACGTACGTATGTATTTCTACATTATATGTTATAAACTAAATAAAATTAATTTGATCTATATTTATTTACAACGATAATTATATAACATTATACTGTACAGATCAAAATTTCCGCTTACTGAAATGTTATGTATATATATAATATTCATACATGAATCAATGAGATCATAATTATCATCATATCTAATTACTTTTATAAATATTACGTGTATAGCTTTGCTACGAGTCACAACAAAACAGTATCAATTATCCATTCCCAAACATAAATATCATACAAACCAAAAACCATTACTGCAGTAGTAGACAGTCTCCCAAAGAAAGCATTTTTTATAACTGTTAGTAATCTATGGTTAGAAAATTCGAACCCTCATACCAAACTGTCAGTAAAGTAGTTGAAATCAAAACTATCCTGAGCAGAGAGCAATTTACCTGATCCTGTGCGAGTACCGCTTCCTGCCCACTCGACATAAGCTCAGAGTGCCGATTGTAATGGGAATTTCTTCGGAATACTATATCAGATTCAGTCTTTTCTCTGCGAGGCCTTACTATATTAGTGGAGTCGGTTGGATTTGCATTTTCTAAATTTTCTATTGTGTTAGCAGTAAGATCGGGCGTGCCAGCTTTTTCAAAGGACGCACCGCTGGAGAAACAAATGCTCGTCGCCGGGGAGTCACTATTCACGCTACTTTGCCGACTCGGACCATTGCTTTCACTGTCTTGCCTTATCAGTGCGGCAACATTCTTCAACGCGTCTATTGGGTTATTAGCACTTTTCTTGTCAACATTTTTTTTCACCTCTCCTTGTGCAGACATCTTTAAGCTGTCATTCATTTTTATAAAATCAGTCAATATGGGCTCACCCGCCGCGGGGGATTTAATAATTTGTTTTCTAGAATTATTGAAAATGCCACTTGACCTTAATTGTTTATTGGCTCCTGCTTGACTTTCATGCTTCGGAAAGTATATAGCGGAGTGCCGCGTACTTGGTAGAGGGAAAAAGTCGGAGTTTTCTCTTCGAAACCCTCTAAAAAATCTGTTTGGAGAATTCAGCTCCGAGCCTTGTTCCTTTTTGTATTTCAGTATATCAGACAGTTTGTCTTGCGTCGATTTTTCACTTGGTTTCTGGAACAGTTGTTTGTGGCGGGAAGGCGGAGTAGCGATGGCTTTGTAGTTGGCCCATGCATCTTCTAGCTCGATACGCGATTGACTTTGAATTTGCGCGCGCTTTTGCTCGCTTTCTTTCTTTGGTTCCTTTTTTGCTTCCTTCACCTCCGAATTTCGTGATGGGAAAAATCGAGCAAAATCCCAATCTTTTAATAGTACTGCTTCGTCAACGTCCGACTGCCTTTTGTCGTTTTCCATATTTTCCTTCTGGTGTTTTTGAAACATGCCCGATACAAAAATTTAATATAAATAACAGAATAAATGATAAACAAGAGACTGTGCTCATTAATCTTACATTGGCGTGAAAAGATTAAAGAATTTGGACCATAGAGCTGACTCAAAATGAACGAGGAAAATTCTAGACACAAAACATTAGAGTTGACATGTTTAATAAACTTAATACCACATCAGTGTTATGCTCGATTTGCTGCCCATTGCGTAAATGAACATGTATGAAGCCTGTCGCGTCACACATCAAGCATGAGGTATTGTTTGAAGTATTGGTTTACCTCAGAGCTCTCCATATTCACAATTTCCATGTAAACTCAATACAACATCTTACGTACTGCACATGCAAAGGTTATTAAAGATTTGTTAAAATTTATTGACGTTTCAATGACACGTTGTGTTATATAATATATATATAGTATTTCTGACCTCATATTTTCAGATGTGTGTAATGGATAACAATGATTTATATTGTGAATATGGGAAGCTTCACTATAAATCCACAAAGATAGCGACGGCTGGAACAGAGATAAGAGCGGAAATCATTCAATAAATATCAAAATTTTGTGTGTCCTTAGAGGTCTGCAATACCGAGATTAACGCGTTAATTTTATTGTTCATAGTATATTTCATTTATCAAACCTTAAAAGGACAAGGTAGATATTTCATTTAACATAAAATCAACTAACAAATTTTTATGGGAATGCTGCGTCACCTCGTCCCGAGCGATTTTATTATTGGTGAGCGTAGAGTAAATGTATACCGGCGATCGCTATCCAAATGTATTTTGTTTGTTCACACAGGTTATCACTAATAATAATACTTCAGTCTTCTGGTCTGGTATATATTTGCCCGGTGGCCAGAGAGACAGAAGTTAAGCGATTTTCAGTCGTAAAAAGCAGAGCTGTCGCTCAGCACATTTATTTCTTAATTATCATAAAATATCTGAAAATGTGAAGTGTACAGACTTAAATTTACTGGTTGGTCAAGCAATCGGTCACACAAAGAAGAATCTCGTCAATGTCGTATTTGCAGGACTTTTTGACTGACTTTGAACTATATATATAATTGTAAGTAGTGTGATTTAGACATAGATAAAGTGCAACCATGCACTGTATGCTGTCAGAGAAACTCATTGACATAGAGAATGGACTGAGCGACAATCGGATTATAATGACTACTGGAAAGAGAGAATGTGATGCTGCAGCCAAGTAGTTCATCTCTCTCCCACTTGTCTACCCAGTTGTACTTTAGATTTAGATAGACAAACGCGCACTCCATTCTAATTATCTAGTCTCAAGAGAAATTCCGCGTGCACCGATATTTTGTTTATTGCGCTAACTTGACAGCTACCATTACTGTCTGACCATGATTTTGGCTTAGCCATGAAAGCAGTGACTAGCTTGGCTTTACACTAGCACGCTTATTCGCTGTAGCATGAGCATGTGACTGTACATGAGTGTATTTGTGTGCCGTGTGTGTGAGGCAGGTTTATCGTTATATTGTACCCATGGCATGAGCCCTGAAATTTACTTTATATCACGTTTTTTATTGCGCTTGACTGTCAAACTCATAGTAATTGACAATGACACTTGACTTAACTGATAATTGAGCGTGATAAAAACGTGTTATATCAAGGGCGTCGCCAAGGGGGGGCAGTAGCTAGCCGCAAAGCGACCAAAGTGCGAGCAATTGACTTCCTTACCTTATTATATGAGACGACCTCCGCGGCCGAGTGGTTTGTACGCCGGGTTTCATGGTGTCGCCGACTCGAGAGGTCCCGGGTTCGAATCCCGGTGGGGGCAGATGTTTGTGTGATGAATACGAGCATTTGTACTCCAGTCATGGATGTTTAATATGTGTTCATATAAATATACTTATATATGTATAGTATATGTTACCCTAGCATCCCATAACACAAGCCTTATAGTGCTTACTATGGGGCTATGCTAAAAATATTGCCCCATTGCCCCCCCCCCCCCCCCTAGTCTTAAGCTGGCGACGCCCTTGTATCATATCGTGGTGCTCATGCGGGGGGCTGACCCGCTTTATGACGAACGCGGAGTCCGGGTGCGCATCGTCAATTTCCGGCGTGAGCGGCAGAGGGCGGGTGTGTGTGTGTGTATGTGAAGCAGGTGTATCGTTATACTGACCCGCTTCATGACGAGCGTGCGGTCCGGATGCGCGTCGTCGTCGTCTGGCGTGGGCGGCAGAGGGCGAGTGGGGGCGCCTCCCCCTGCACCTCTCCCCGCGCTGCCCCCGCCACCCCCCGCGCCGTCCTCCGCCACCGCGCTCAGACCCGGCCTGTAGCAGAACTCGGGACTGACAAGCGGGACGGGACACGGGCGAACCAATACGAAACGCAAATCATAGTAACGAGGGGGACGGAACCAAAATCAAAATGGGTTAAATGAAAGTTATGGCTTATTAGGTAGGTATATTGATAAAGGCAATCATCATTACTCCTGTTGTGGTATTGTGTAACTCAACATGATCAAAGTTGGGATCAATATCCAAATGGTGTAATATTCATTTAACAAATTAGAAATGATATAAGCAACCTACGATTAAGTGATCAGACTGTCGCCGCGCTCAGACAGATGCTTTATTTATTTTATCATTTTATACAAGTTTTGAACCGCTTGATGGTAAGCCGCCATCCATAGGCTATACCAAACATATTGCTCGCACCGTTGCCTACCCTGACCCAATCCTCTACCCCATGGAGAAAAAAATGACATCCTGTGAGGTTGAGTTGTGTAAATGACTGATAAAAGGAAGTAAAAAGCAAACCAGTATAACTTATCAAAAAAGAAATATAATTTTGTTTACGCGTCAATAACCTCTAGGAAAATATTGTTGCAATATTATCCTCGCTGAAGGTAATAACTTAATAAAGTCCAATAGTCTATTGCGTACGCGCTTAATGGGGATTTTCGTTTCACCTTAACATTATCTTACCCAATAAATAGGTAGCCGAATTCATTTGCAGAGATTTGATTCGGCAAAGTATTTTGCTTTGTGCACACAGACAAGCGCGTTAGTATGGAAGTTTAGTAATAGAAGTTTAGATAGAACTACGTTGTAGCAGTTTTATTCGACAGTAAAGCTTCCAATAATTTCTAATTAGTTGGATTCATTACTCTAGTAGTTTATATTCGGAGCGCGGGATGAATACATATTTAACAAACTGTCGGCATGGTTGGTTTGTCGAAAGGTCTTTAGAGTTTATTTTGTACCAATGAACAAACATATACCTTGCATTTTGTAATAAATACATATATACAGACGTCCCACGGGTTTGTCACACGGAGGGAAAGTATATTAAATATTGAAGATCTTTTACTGAAATTCATTACTGAAAAATCATTATATTGTTAATAATAAGTAGAACTGCATTCAGTTTTAAAGAAATCGCCTGCCAAAACCGGGAATCAAACTCGTGAAATGTGAAATAAAAAAAACACATGTATTTTATGATAACCGTCGAATGATCATGAGGATTACTTTTTCCTAAATAACATAGTATTTTAAATGAAAGAAAAATCACGAAATTTAACTTTATTTTTAATAATTGAACACAAACTACAATAAAAGAGAAATGGTGCTAGGTTCGTATAAGTATCGCCTTATTTTATTTTTTCACGTAGGTATATAATGTAAGGTACTCCTGTATTATTTAGTGAGCCGAGTTCGTAAACATTTTGAAATGATAACATAGAAATTTTCCTAAACAAAATTTTAATTTCAAGCTCTTCCATTTATTAGCTGTTGAAAGCATGGAGAAGTAAGAGAAATTGTTCCGGCACAAAATCTTTATTTCATGATCTTCCTTTCATTATAATGCTATGTTATTCAGGAAAAAATAATCCTTATGAAACCCTTTTGATGGTTAACATAAAAAACGTCGTGTTTTTTTTTAAATTTTACGAGTTTGATTCCCTGATGTAGCAGGTGATTTTATAAATTCTGTGAATACAGTTCTAGTTATAATTAAAAAAAAAAAGATGCCATCTTTCAGTAAAATATCCTATCTTCAACATTTAATATACGTTCCCTACGTGTGACAAACCTGTGGGACACCCTGTATATAATAATAAGCAGTAACATTTATAAAATAGATGATAGTCGACTGTGTGAAATAAAAAACTGGGGTACTTAAAGATGTTGAATTACACAATAGGTTTGTAGAATTAATGCTCGGCAATAAAATTGGGACACAAGTTTTGTTTATGGAAAATAGAAAGTGTTTTGTAGTACATATATAGTGTAGTGTAGGTAATAAGGTCAAGGCCAGTTAAATGTTTACATTACCATAATGTGGAATTAAACTATTTCTAATCTAATTATATTTCCGGCGCATTAAAATAACAATATTATTTTTTTTATCAACACAAAGGACAAATCTACACATATGTATATGTCGAGATCTAAAGGTATTTAATTTTCATATGTAACAAAATTAGGGGTTGACAAATGATTAAGATTTTACCAGGTGTTTCATTAACTTTAACTTCTTACATCTTCAATGCATTATCAGATTATCATTATACAATTAAAAAAAATAATTAATTGACAATATGCTCTCTATATGTATGTATTTAATATCATTTGTTGCTTCGTTGTGAGAAAAAAAAATCAAAATAAAATTTTGCTACGATTTTTTTTGCAGGATTCAAACACGCAAATTCCTTTCCTAATAGGCTAATAAAATTATGGGGATGAACTTAAAAATTGTGTGTTTTTTTTATAGTTATAAGGGTGGCAAACAAGATTTTGGCCCAACTGCTGGTATACGGCCACCAAAGCCTATGGATGTTTGCGAAACAATAAATATCACTCGGGCTGTTGCCTACCCCATCCTCTATAGGTAAAAAGTATCATATTATAAAATGGTAGGAAAGTAAAAACTGTTTATTGGGCTTTTTTTTTAAATAATACTTGGGGTGTAATCTACAATCGATACAGAAGCCAAAAATATAGTTCTTAGAATTTTTGTCTGATTGTCTGTATGTATGTCTGGGATAAACTCAAAAAGTACTGCATGGATTTACTTCAGTTTTAGCACGACAATTATTAAGAAGTCGGGTCAACATATAGGCTACATTTTACGACGCTATCACCTACGGGGAACGAGCAGTGAACCTTTATTTCTAACTAACTCCACGCGTACGAAGTCGCGGGCGGCCGCTAGTATAAAATATCGTGCAACATACAGAGGTTTCGGTGGGTCGCTGGCAAGGAGAGTGCCGTCGTTGCGTACGCGACCGCCACTCTCTTCCAAGTCCGAGTCACTGTCAGACTCGTCGAATGTAGGTTCCGGTGGGTTCCGCTCGACGGGAGGTCCTGGCGTGATTGTTGAACAATTTACAGTGAGATTCAGCACATTTACCGAAATACATAGTGCGATACAAACTGAACGATTATATTACAGTTCATTGTATTTATATTTTTTAAGCATTTAACTGCTAGATCTTTATATTTAAATAAAGAAAATTTGACTAGAAAAAATCCGCGCGGTCCAGACAGCAGACGAGACTCTGACCACTTGCTTGCACTTTGTCGCTGCCATGCAGTCCAAGAAATACTAGAAGGGTGCGGGTTCGAGGCCCGTGTGCTGCCTGTACCGCGTGGATTTCTTTTTCTAGTAAAATTTTCTTTAGATTGTATTGAAGTTAACAGCGAACGCAACTACGCATATCTAAAATTCCTTTTCTGCATAGGCATAAGTCAATGAACTGAGCGATACTCGCAAGAAATTGACAACATTCTAGAAAAAGTGAAATTACAACTAATTCATAACCTTTGGAGGTAGAGAATGGACTAAGAGACTATACTTGTACCACAGTGCCTGTACTAACTTCACAGCCACAAACTAAATGAGTTTGTGCGAGTCAAATTTAATGACGGTTATGAAGTTAATGCAAGTCGTGGCGCAGTTAAGATAATGTAGGAGCGCGCGAGATGTCACTGAACTGAAATCTTGGCATAGCTGCGCTCACTGCTATCTTCGCACTAAACACAGCACACATTTATCAGCGCTTGATTGGGTGAGTATCAGAGGTAAAAGGCGGCAGTATAAGAGCAGGGCAGATAGGGCTGTGGCCCAGGGAGTGACAAAAATTAATTAGTGGACACCAAAATTAGTAATATAGTAAGTCAATAGTTAATACCTTGCCCGTTGGCAGGGGCTCGTGGAGGTCGGTTGGGTGGTTCGTTGCCGGAAACTACGCCCAGCTCGTTGAGTTGTGCGGCCAGTTTGTCCAAGTCCTGTAACATACAAGTTATTTATAATTATCAATATGAAAACACAGGGAAATAATAATTCCACTATATATAGAAACAATGTCCAACATTATTGATGAACAAGTAGGTATAAAATAAATTTAAAATTTGTTTGAATGCTTATCTGTTTAACTATTGTGAACTACTTTGATAAGATTGTTCATATAAAAGATCTACAGTGTAATTTTCGAAGAAGAAAGTCTGTGGCTCAAATATAGATACAGACCACAATTTATTCTGGAAAATCTTACTGGAACAGCAAATCCGCACATACGAAATCTCAATTTATTTCCATACGTAATAAAATAAACAAATACAATTTTTATAAAAATAACTAAAATACATGCATTCTTCTACTATCAATAAAATAAATTGTTTATGAAACCAACCTCTGGTCTTCGCGGAGGAAGCTGCAGTTGAGGTGAAATTGCATGTGCAAACAAATGTTACAGCGTGACATGAAAATAAAAATAAAAACTAATCACATATATATATATGAAACTAAATAAAAAATACACATTTAATGTATAACACAACATACAAAGCCAGTATAGCCATTTTATTTACTTTGTTTATGTAATAGGGCGATAGTGTTCATACAGGGTAAAAACTGTAATGTAATGACTGAAGCAATAATTTTTAATAATATCAATTTTGGTATTAGTGAAACTTAGCTTTATTTTGCTGTTGAAAATATGGACAACAATATGGACACTACACACTTTACATTTCATTTTATTTTTATGGTTTAACTAAGATTTTTGTTATGCGATGCGATACGGTACAGCTCCTCCTTATATACGCGAGTCATTAAATATTGATGTTTCAAGCTGATACGTTGCTAAGGAATACAACAATTGCTAATTATTTTAAAGAAGAAAAAAAAAATTAAATGTTTCTATAGTGAGTTAGCAGGGAAAGGGAGTGGATTTTGTAAATACATACCATTGGCTTGAACAAATGGTGGGAGCCCCGTTGTGGAGGTTGTGGACCGCTGGCCGGTGGTGTACCATTATTGGAGCCAGAACTATTTGACGAGCCTGAAGACTTCGGTGTGGGGGGCAGAGGCCTGATAATTACAATTCATTTACCATGAACATAGGGCAATACACATACGTAGCCTAAAATAATTTAGAATGTGAGTGTATCTACAGAATAGATAAAAAAGGTCTGTACATTTATATTATAAATATGGCTTGATGACATTTACATAAAAGCTCTTCACTACTCCTTCGGTTTAATATTATTGTTGTTCAATTTTAGATCTAATGTATACATACATGGTTATGACCCTCATAAAAATTATAATTATTAATTAAAATTACTAAAAGAAGGGATGGTGCAGCATATTGTCCGCTCTAATTGGATCTGCCTGGAAAGTATTCCTACTTTATAGAAGACAACTAAATAAATAATTGTATAAGGTTTTGCTCTATTGCAGATGGGATGAGTTTTATTTTATTTTAAATAGGCAAAAATCAAATTTCATTGAATGAAATTATGGAACTACATTCTTAGTTCAGATTATTTATACCTTTAAATTGAAAAATGTTTGTTATTATAATAAAACTAGTTTTTACAGGTTAATACACGAAACTTTATTTATTTATTGACGACCTTTTATTAAATAAAAGTTTGATTCTGATGACGTAGCCTGTAAAGGCTACGAAACGTCAATAAATAAACAAAGTTTCGTGCATTAACCCGTAAAAACTAGTTTTATTTAATGAGTGATGTGCCAGAAAACCTAAGAAACAAATTTGTTATTATATTTACCTATATCTATTAGGTTGCTGTGTCTGCGGGTCTGGCACTACAATCAGTCTTTGTGGAATGGAGGGCCTCGCCGGAGGGCCAGGCTCTACAGTATTAACAAACAACACAAGTTAATAAAACGCCACATTTGCTAAAATTATCAAGTTAGATGAATTACATACCTGGAATCTCTTCTCGTTCCTCTCGTTTACTGTTGCGTTTAGGCGGCGGCTGCGGTTGCGGAGGCTCCGCGGGAGCTCTGAGTTATTATGAAATTCGTTAATTTTAGAGAAACACTGTTAATAGGCAATGTTTATGAAATGATTTTAAATGAACTTACCGGCCCTCCTGAATCTGCTGAAAATTGCGACGAAGAGTATCACCACCCTGGTGGGGAGCGTTATGAACTATTGACGATGGTTCGCCAGCAACGGCACTCTCTTCCTCCTCACCTTCTGAACCAGAGTATTTGTAGTCTTCACGGACTGAATTATCCTGCTTTCTCTTTTTACATCTGTCTATGTGATCTTTCAGTTGTATTCGCACTTGTCTCTCTGTAGGTTGATCTCTAAAATAGACACAATAATTAAAACCATTAATTGTATTATATATTAATAGTAACATACACACTATATTGGAGTAGAAAAACAAACCTTATGAAAGGGTGTTTCAATAGTTGCTCAGTGTAAGGCCTTTGATGATAATCTTTAACAAGTACAGTTTCAATGAAACTGTGAAACTTTTTAGCCCATTTCTTCGACTTCAGACGAGGAGGCGGATTCCTGAAAATTATCTTTTATGTGTAGAAATTAAACACAAATGATAAAGTACTGTATTGTATAGTATTAGAAGTACCTTGGAATAAGAAACAAAGCTCTCATAGGATGAAGATCACATAAAGGAGGTTGACTCTCAGCCATTTCTAAAGCTGTAATACCCAGTGACCATAAATCTGATCGATTGTCATATGTGGCATCAGGATTTTCATCACAAGCGATGACTTCTGGAGCCATCCAATAAGGGGTACCGATAAATGTGTTCCTTCGTCCAATCGTTCTATCAAGCTGTGCTGACACTCCAAAATCCACTGCAATGAATTTTTTATAATATGATGGACAATGTTAACATATAATTTACTGCAAATGATAAGAAAATGATATTAATTACCCAGTTTAACTTCTGCATTATCAGTTAACAGGACATTTTGCCCTTTAATATCCCTGTGGATGACTTTGTTGGAGTGTAAATAGCTTAAACCTCTCAGGATTTCTCTACATATATATGAAATCCATTCTTCTTTTAGTGATTGTCCTTTGGTAGATTTAACCAAATCTGTTACTGATCCTGAAATCATTATTAAGGTTTAAAGTCATGGATGAATGATTTGGAAGGTCATAGAAATAAAATCAAATAATTTTAGCATTACATACCAGCACCACAGTACTCCATAACTAACCACAATTGATCATCCTTGCCAGGAGGACTTTTTTTTATAAATGCTCCATAATATGTAGCAATGTTACGGTGATTTGAGTACTTTTTTAATACATTGATCTCAAGTTTTATTTCTTCTTCTTCATCTTGTGTGACATCCATAACCTTGATAGCAGCAAGCTGACCTGTCTTTGTGTGTCGGCCCTATAATATTAAATATGAAATTTATGAAACATTACTTGTAGCAGACATTAACAGACTTATAAACACTCATTTAAAGTGTTTTCAAAAGCCTCATGTTTTAAAACAATCCACTGAAAAGGTCATAGCTAAGAAACTGCCCTTAAAATGTATAATTATTTTGCACTAGCCTGTAACATTATATATATATTTTTTAATTAATTATTACTTGTTTATAATTCTCATACAACTTTCATGTATTAGTCAAACATTTAAAAGTATAACAATTGATTTCATGTCTGTTTCAAAGAAAATGTTCTGTTTTATAAAAATAAATGAACAAAAATTGTACACAAAAATTCGGTTGGTGTAAGTATATTGAATTGAACAATATTAATTTCAAACTTCTATAAAATGTGACATATTTGGCACTAATTTGTATTATAACAATACTGAAGGCTGAAAAGAATAGATTATATTTTTCTGATCGGGTTGAGACAAGGCCTTATGATAGGTAACTAATCCTTAGATTATTTCAAATGAACTTTAAATTAAACAATTTTATTTTAACTTTATAAATGCTTTTTTCCGAATTGCTAATCAGAAAAATGGCAGGGAAGCTTCTAAGAAAATTCAAAATTAATGACTGCACATAATTGGCAACATATTTTATAAAATGTAGCAAGGTAAAGACATAGTAGGATTTTTCATATTTTTCAAGATTGTGACTTTATCTAAAGTTCCCAAGCGTTTTTTCATAGAAATTATAAATATTCAGCATTAAATATTACTTAGTAAAATATTTATACATTGCTGGGGCAGTTCATACAAAATTTTACCATGTCCTTTATATATAATTTGTTTACATTGTAATTATGAAAATAAATTGATAAGAGTTAAAAATTGTATTTTTTTATAGAAGTTTTGCAGATAAAATGGTATTAAAATAAACACATAAATGATAAGTATAGAATAATTAATTTTATATCTTCAGTTAAACTAATCATGGAAACCATTGCTCATTTTATTGTTTCCAGTAAGATCTTACATTAAGAAAATCTCCTAAAATTACAACTGATTTTAAAGGTAGGTAGGCATATAATTTAAATAATGTAACAATTGCTTATAATGACTGTAACTCCATTCATTGACATTAATAGTTTGAACTCTCTAATTGTACTGCTTTCATTGGAGCGTATTAAGTTTAATAAGTTGTTAGGAAGTTATTTAGTAATGATCTCTATAACAATGACAAATTTCTCAAAAAAATATTGTTATTATTATGGGTTGAACAGTACACAATAATTTAGTTACAAATTAAACAAATAAATTACATTGATTTTACCTTGTAAACTTGGCCGTAAGTACCATTTCCGACAACTTCTATTAGTTCGAATATTCCAGCGGGGTCCTGAAATAACACCAAGACAGGAGCTGATTAAGATAGTTTTATACAAAATAAGTAAATCTACACAGAATTCTATGATTCACGCCCTGTGAGATCATTGCCCTTTAGGTAGGTTTCTTGGTGTGATAAGAGAAAGTTGTACGCTTTTTGACATGATTTTAGTGAGTACTAATAATAGACCGTTTCTAAAACTTACCTTTAAAGCGCTGAGGTCAATGTCGTCTAATGAACAATTTACAGACGGTGCTAGTTGATGCGCCATTTTGAGTATATTGTCACACACGGAGACAAAGCACGAGAACTTCACATTAATGTATATTACGTATAAAGCTCTGTTTTAAAACATTGGGCTGATAGATTACTAATATTTCAGCAGTTTTCGTTTGAATAATTTATAAAACACATTGTTTACAACTAAATTAGATTTACAGATACACACTTCGTATGTCTCACACACCCGGCAGGGATGCCATGTCAGGTCAGAATCACAGATAATTTTGTGATTGTGATCAGACCATAGAGAAAATTATAAGTTCGATCTAGTGTTGCCAGCCAGTGTTGCTAGAATTACGGTGAATTTTTCAAAATATTTTGTGTCCGTCATGCTAGCGTTCACCACATTCAACTCGAGGTTGTAAACTATTAATAAATCTAGTGCATAATAAGTCCAAAAACAAGAAAATGAAGCGCACACCCGGCCATATTCGAAAATGGATTATAGAGCAACAAAATTTTCACAGTTCTAATCACAGATATAGGATGTCAAGATAGACAGAGCAGCTGTCGTGTTCTAAAAATTTTATTGTGCATGTAAGTGTATCGGCGTTTGATTACGAATTTGTGGGTGATAGTGTCCTTTTGTAAAGATATGCTTAAAACACAGGATACCATAACACAAACTGAATTGTAGTATGCACAATGTTTTCTTAGTTTTACAAAATTATATAGTAAACTTACTAACAGTACGGCTTGACAGGATGCTGTTGGCTCTTGCTGAAAATATATAATGGATGGGTCAAAAATACTGCGTCTCTGTCTACCATGTAGGATTGTCGTAAGGGTATGATGTTTCTTTTCGGCACTCCGTCAGTCTTTAAATACCCAGGTCTATGGCTCTAATAGTGCCCGCACTATGCAGATTCCATAATCGGCCCAGGGGCCCCCACAACAGAGATAAATAAACAAAGTTCAACGGGTCACCACACCAGTGGAGTTATCATTATGAAATTTTACATAGTGTGATCACTATTAGATTAGAGCACTATTTTCAGTGAAAATTTGGTTACTTAAGAATAAGCCGTTTGATAGTCACGCAATCGTACACCATGAAAACGTTTATTATTTCCTAAGCTAAAGAGGAAGATTATTTGCACTAATTAGGCACTAATTAATAGTATAACAACCTCGTTTGATGTGGTGTACGCTAGCATGATGAACATAATATTTTTGTCGCAGGCATAGCAAGCGAAAGAATATTAGATATAGCAGTTTTAGGTTGCTTTCCAATTACAGAGCATAATGCGACTCAGTAGCGCACAATGCCGAATTATGCTGATGCTTAATTGGAACGTGAATTAGTTTTCAAATGCACCAGCAGAGTGCGCTAAGTTCAGTGTTGAAAAAAAAAGTCAATGTTTGTACCTTCATCCATACTTATATTTATTTTTTTAACAGTTTGAATTAACTTTGATTGTTTAAAAAAAACTATTTAATGATACGAAAGCTTTAATAATTTTTCAAAAATAAATAATATTACTTACGATAACATATAAATAAAAAATTTTGACCAATGCCAACTTAAAGAAAAAAAAATGGGTGCGTGTACTTATGTAGGCGCGTGAGAAGTTATCCTTCTTTGGCATCGTTTAAAATTAGTTTTTAATTGCATGCAAATAATTAATTACAATAAATTAATAAACCTGGAATCAATAAGTCTGGAAAAGGATACAGTCAATAAAGTTCAGTTTTAATTTGAAAAAATAAATAAATAATCAAAATATTCAATTAAAATCGCTACTGAATATAATTTATTAGAACATATGTGATTTGCACTTGTATAAAACTCAAACACGTATTCCGAATATACAAACTAGAAACATGTGGATAAATATTATAAATATGAATACCTATAACTGTTACTTTATTACAAAAAATAAAGATGTGGTTTTTGGTTCTACTACACCAATGGTCAAGAGATGGCGCTGTAGTCTCCTGAATCGCGCTTTGGTTCCGTTGTTCCAGATTAATAAATACTTTTGATAGGCCTTCACAATGTAGTCGTTAGCACCCACTAAATAGAGATTCTATTTCTATTTAGTTGGTAGATTTTCTTAATGTGCGGTAAACACAAAAGTAAACAGCATGAAGTTGGTCGCTAAAGCGACCGCATAATGCGCTATAATGCTGTAATTGGAAAGCTACCTTATATTCCAGCTAAAGTTTTCAATGGAGCCTGCGTAGTAGCGATTTTACAAACAAAAATATCTACTATAGTATGCACGTTTTTTTGTCTGTGGTGTAGCTAAAGAAGTTTACCGCGAAGTATGTAGGTACTTATGCCCATAAAACTGTATTAAAAAAATCGAGCCGTTTTCTAATAGGAAGGAAAGATTTTAAATACAGTCAACAGCACATCATGCTAAAACCAAACAGACTTTTTATTATTTATTGGGACATTTGACAGTCTGCGGTAATTTGATGTGCTGTTTGCTGTTTTGTACTTTGCACCCATTTAATTTTGACCACACGCTTACTAGGGGGCGCTAGCATAATGTTTGCGCACGGGCGCTGCTGGGACACCTCTGATGTTTGTTACTCAATTATGCTACAACTACGCAACGGATTTGGATGAAATGTGGTACACATATTAAAGTTTATGACATAGGATTGAGACATAGTATTTTATTTATTCCGGAAAAATAACAGGTTCCTGTGGGATTCTGAAAAAAGTAAAGTTGGGCGGCCGCTAGTAGTACTTATATATATTTATAATATATTTGCATGCTTAAAATTAAGTAGATTTTGAAGAACCAATGTTAAAATGAACACCTTAATATTTTATGCAATTAAACCATTACAGAGTTATTCTCTCTTATTCCACCTTCTCCTTTCCTTCAGAAGATCACGCACTGTGGCCAAAATTCCAACGCGTACAAAGAAATTAGGTGACTCATTTCTTTGTCGCACTATCTGTAAATGGAATGCTCTGCCTGCTCACGTGTTCCGTCCTTCTTACAACGTGGGATCCTTTAAAGAGGCGTGAAGAAGCTACATGCAGGTCGGCAAGATGAGGATGGCTGGTGTGGCAGGTAGAACTGCTGTACCAGCTACCTTCACCTCTGGACTGCACCATCACTAATATCAGGTGGGGTGGAGTCATTTGTCGGACCTATCTATAAAAAAAAAGAGATCCATTTATGGTATGGCCTTACATGGCGCCCCATCTGGGACTCCTCGTTGAACGAAGCTTACAGGCCCTATCTGTGAAGACCGCAAAAGGTCATAAGCTCTAAGAGATACAAAAGGTTAGCGCACAGTTTCTTGTGCTGCGGCGTGTGCTCTCGGCGGCGAGAAAGAAGAAATAGAAGGAAGAAAGAAGGTAATAGAGACCCTGAAAAAAGTATTCGTGCATATTTTCTAAATACTTTTTTAAGATAAAGATACTTTTTGGAAGAAAACATATTTTTGTTGGTTTTAAGGTTTATTTAAGTTACTAAATTGTATTAGCAGTACATTTTTCTGAGTTTAAACAATTGGTTTTGCTAAAGTAATAAATAAAGTAATAATTTGATGAAATTTATCCGCTCCGCTCGAATGAGAGCATCCGTCAGAAGACTACAGTAAACAGGGCCGGATTTAGGATTGTGGAGGTCCCGGGCCACTTAGGATTTGTATGCTTATTGACCCATTGAAATGTTGTTATTTCTTAAGCTGTTGTGGAGGCCCCTGGGTCACAGCCCCACCTGCTCTGCCTTAAATTCGGCCCTGGGTAAAGGTAAAAGAGCAAAAAAAAAAATATCAAAGGAAAAGATGTTTACTAGTTGGAATTTGAAAGATTTTTTTTCCGAAGTCTCTATTGTGGGGGCCCCCCGTTTGTGGAGGCCCCGGGGCTTTCGCCCCGGTTGCCCTCCCCTAAATCCGGCAGTGACAGTAAAATAACACTACCTTTTAGTGGTTTTGTGTTTCTGTCGGTAAGTAAGGTTCAAAGGCTCCACGGGGTAGGGGATTGGGTAAAGGTAGGACTTAAACATTAAAATAATTCTAAATTCCTCAAACATTTGAATCGAATCATTGATTCTTATCCCAAAAGTAAAGTAAATAAAAACAAACTGTAATGAAACTTTAAAGAAGATTTTTGACTAATTAGGCATTTAGACAACGATATAAATAACACATAGGGCCAAAACACATCTACGCGTTGCGGAGCCGCAACGCTTCGGCGCCGCGCACGCCGCTTGCGTCGCGCAAGTCTCGTATCTGCGTCGTGTGGAAGTGGAAGTGGTGAAGTGGGCGTGGGTCGTCGGCGATCTTCTCCGTTGAGGCTTGAGGGTCTGGAGGACGCGCTGCTGGCAGACAGGCGGCACTCCTGGAAGGCAGAAGCGCTCCTGTTCCAGCGTCTCTCGATACTTGGCCGGCCCTGGTGGTGGCTGGCGGGCGCTGCTGGTAGGTTGGCCGACGGATATCGGCCGGTGGCAGGAGCTGGTGGAACGGCAGGTGTCGGTGGAAGGCGGGCCGAAGCAGTTGGAGGCTGGCCGAGGTAGCTGGAGTCCGGGCGGCAGTCCCGTCGGGTTGCAAGTATGGTGAAGAGGACGAGAAAAGTAGTAGCCAATAGGTGCTGTAGAGCTTTGAGGTCTTTCTTGAGTCCCGGGGCAGTCGGCCCCGGAACAAGGCCTTTTATTAATTTAGAGCTCAGTAGCGAGCTAACAAAAGTTATAATGGCAACTTTTGCCGAAGAAATGAATGAAAGATCAGGGAGGCTCGGCCTTTTATAGGTCCGGAACCATTTAAATTTAGACACGGTTCGAATCGAACTAAAAAGAATCAAAGTAGGTGGTCTGTGGAGGTTGAATAGGCAAAGACGTAGTTGGAGAGAGTATCCATGTCATGGGTAGCCATGGCAACGAATAAAAAACATTAAGTTGTCACAAATGTCAAGAAAACATATAAAAAAAAATTATGAATAAAATTAAATAAAATTGGAGAAATACAATAAATAACAGAATATAGAGAAATGACGGTAAGTGTCCAGCACTCTGGAATAGTGATTTTCAGCACAGATGGAATTATTATACGTTTTTACAAAATGATGAATAGTGTGTGATATTTTTGAAATTGTGTGTTTCCAGAAATACATAATAAAATATATGTTTATGCCTGAAGAATATCGATGATGTTAGATGATAAAATGTGTGAAATGGAACCTATGATAGACGAAACCATAGGACGATTCCTGAGGTACGTTACAAATAATAAAAAAAAAACTTTGCGTC